ATCTCAAGGAAGAATATAATGTCTGCTGAGTGTAAGAACAGCACCATTTGTAAATAACAGAACTCCATCCTATCAAGTGGCTTAAATTACAGACTTCAGGAAACCTGTGTAGGCTGTAGGAACACTGTCACCATGCCCAAACTGTTCCACAAATCTGCTTGATGTGACACCTTCTGACTCAACCCTAAGATCCTCGGAAGGAAGGGTGGCAACACTGTTCTATCAAGATGATGAATTCACATTTCACCACCAATTGCTAAGAATTACTTTTTTAAAAAGAAAAAAATGAAAGCTCTTTTTTTTTTTTTTGCTCTTTATCCTCCAGTTCAGATTTTCTTCTACATCTAAATAATGCCTGGCTGAGGATAGGGAGCAATAAAAGCAGGTTCTCCAGTGGAAAGCAATCCAAATAGCCCTGATGTGGAAACAGCTGCTTCGTCAACATCATTACCATCATCCGCTCAGCTAATATCTACTGGGTGTTTGTGTTAAATTCATTTAATGCTCTTGATGACTTCACTTTATGGATAAGGAAGCTGAGGCACAATCAACCTTTCAATAACTAGTTCAGGAAGGGAGCGAAACAATGTAAATATTGATATGAAGCAGTTGTTTCTATTTCCAAAACAATTGCAAGACTCACACAGTCACACTTTTACATTAGGAGTTGTGAATTCTGCTGGCCTTGGAAGACCATGAGCTCCTTTCTCAACAGAGAGCATTTGGTCTTCCCAAGCCCTTGATGAAGGTGGTAGCCTAGACCCAGGCCAATTCCTAAAATAAACTGGAATGGGATTATGAAATAGTCTATAGGGCATGTCTTGGTTTAAAACTACCTTTGCAGAGATATGGAACCAAAACAGCGTCATAAGGTGACTATTCTAAGTGAATAATGCATGTAGGACCTTAGGGAAGAATCAGACTCTAATACCAGTTTCCAGCCAAGGCACACACCAGCCAGTGGCTCTCACGTTAGTGTGCTTCAATTCAACCAGGAAGCCTGTTACCAGTGCCATTCCTGGGCCTACACCTATAAAATCTGATTCTGAAGATCATGGGTGGGGTTCTGAAATGGCATCTTTGTTTTTTTTATTTTTTGTGATGGAGTCTCATTCTGTCGCCCATTCTGGAGTGCAGTGGCATGATCTTGGCTCACTGCAACCTCCACCTCCTGGGTTCAAGTGATTCTCATGCCTCGGCCTCTTAAGTAACTGAGACTACAGCGCATGCCAGCACACCCAGCTAATTTTTTGGTAGAGATGGGGTTTCACCATGTTGACCAGGCTGGTCTTGAACTCCTGACCTCAAGTGATCTGCCCATGGGATGGTGTCTTTGAAAGGTACCCCAGGTGATTCTGCTGGGCTCAGTTAGGTAAGCAATGCCCTAGGTCCACAGTAACGAGTAGGGGACTATGTTTGTGTTTATGGGAAGCCATTTTCAACCAGTGACAGGGTTCAAATTGATGGCCTGAGGGTAAGTATAATATCTCTTGATTAAACAAGTTTTCTTAAAAGTTAAGATTTTTTCCTTTTCTACTCACTGAGCATTCTTTTCTGTCTATATAACTTTCAGTTGTTAAACACTATAAGCCCCCACACAATGACATTATTTTGAAATTAAAAGTCAAAACAAAACATGGAGGCCAGCGTCACGTTGCCTTCTTGTCTTGAGATTTTGTTTAATGTGGGACTTTGGACTGTGGGGCATAAAGATAATTTCTTGGGAGCAGCTTTCTGCCTCTGGGCTCAGGAGAGAGGACCTCCCCACACAACTTCAGAGTTTCAGATGCAGATATCTGCCCATTTCCACAGCCCTGTTCCTCCGCTGAAATTTCACATTCGTGGGATATTACATAATGGAATCACAAGCAAAAATAACATTCTGCCTTTTGGACTGTAGAAAAGGAGTACTTGAGAAATCCAAAATCTGAGGATTTCTACCCAAACAATGGTTTAATAACAAAGGCTAATTAACTGTGGATTTGGTATATGCTGTGGCCGGCAGAGTTTCAGATCTGTTATCTCATTCCATCCTCACAACATCCCCACAAGATAGGTAGTATTATTGTTTCCATTTTAACAGTGATCAAGGTTAAGAAAAAAGGTCCAGCTAGCAAGAGGAACAGTCAGAGCCTGAACACAGGTTTTCTGAGAGCAAGCCCATATGGTGACCCCTAGGCTATACTGTCTGTATAGTACACATGTATATTTGTTTTGTTTTATACACACACACATTACCAATATACATTTGTATATACCAATATAGATATACAATATGTCATACCGTCTATATTTATATTATACACATGCATATTACCCATATATGAGTGTGCACTGGTAAGTCTCACTATGGTAAAGTGTCATGTACTAGTAAGGTCCTGGTCTTACAAGAACCCAAGGAACCCTGAAATGAACACTTTCTTTCCCCACCCAGGTCCCAAATAAATTTAGGTACAACTATAGTGAGCAGGAGCCACTTTTCTTCAAAATTCTACCGCCTCATTTCACAGCGTGCTTATGCCCTTGCTTAAACAGAGCCTGCTGTTCTTCATGGTTACCCCTAAGTTGCAGGGGCTGCTTTGTCATTCCAGATGGCCCCACCAGAGGATCCTGGGGGAACATCTCTTGCATTGCTTTCCCATTTGCATAACTTAGGAAGCAAGGAGATAGCTTGTGTTGGTGCTTCAATGAAACCTTTTCATTTTAGACATAAAGGGGAGTTAAAATCAGAATTGCCCTAAGAAATCTGACGAGAGTCAGCCTAGGGAACCTGACCTCTCTGTGGCTTACAGGGTCAAAGGATACATCCCTACCCCTCACCCTGTACCTTCAGCTAACCAAAGCAAGGCAGTTGGAATGAGCACCTGCTAAAAGGGATCAATAGCCGGATGCTACTGTGGCGGGGACGGTAGGCAGGGGTTGCTGAGCTGCTGTTTAGGTGGGAGTGAAGGTGACACTGAGTTCCACTGTGGTCCAGTGCAATTCCATCTACAGAACACTTACAGAACTGGTCAGATGCTATGGAAGGTAAAGAAAAGACACCAAAGCAAAAGGAAGGCTCAGAGTGTAAGGAATCGATTCAGAAACAGTCTAGATCAGAGGTTCTCATACCTAACTCATCTCGGAATATTCTTAAGAGCTCGTTAAAAATACAGGTTCCCGATCCCCACTTCTTCCCTTCCTTGATCTGCCTTGCGGAAGTATCTGAATCTCTAGAGTTGAAGTCAGAGAATATGCATTTAAACAACTGCTTCTGTGGTTTTTAAACACCACTGTCCTGGTCAAGTCAGTCTTGGCAATATGGTCTTAAAGGCCAGATTGGAGTATGAAATTATCCAAAAGTTGTCCAGAGAGGTCTGAATATTTTATGAGCTTTTCCAGCTTATTATTCTATCTTCTGGCAATTTTAGACTCATTTTTGAAATCCTGGTTTATTTGAAGGGATGCAGGTCAGATTTTTGTTACATTGATTTCTGTTTTTGTTTTTCCTTAATGTGAGGCAGATTCAGTAATGACGAACTCTATCCTATGGAAAAATCCTGCAGAACAAAAAAGATGACCTAGCCCTCCATCAGCGTTTCTTAGACAGAGGTCCTTGATGCTCCACTTGGAATTGCCTGGGGACTCGTTAACAACAGATCACAGAGGGTGACACAGTGACATTGGTAACATTCCGACACGGTTTTTAAAAATGAATGCCAGATAGATAAATAGATAACAATTCACCATTTTAACCATTTTAAAGTATATAATTCAGTGCTGTTGAGTAGATTGACAATACACAATATTGTACAACCATCACCTCTATCTAATTCCAAAATATTTTCATCCCTCCCAAAGAAAACCGATTAAGTGGTCGCTCCGCCTCCTTCCCCCAACCCCTGGCAACCACTATCCTGCCCTTCGTTTCTATGGATTTGCTTATTCTGAATATGTCCTATAAACTGAATCATACCACATGTGGCTTTTTGAGTCTGGCTGAGCAATTCCATGCCTTGGAACATACCCAAAAGAAATGGAAACAAGTGTTCAAACAAAACTTGTCCATGAATGTGCATATTGGCAGTATTCACAATAGCCAAAAGGTAGAAAAATTCCAGTGTCCATCAACTGATGAATGGAAATACAAAATGTGGTATATTTATACGGTGAAATATTATTTAATCAAAAAAAGAGAGTGAAGTCCTGATTTATACTACAACAGAAAGGAGGCTCAAAAAGAGTATTCCAGAAGAAAGAAATTGTCTGATTCCACTTACAGGAACTATCCTATATAGTTTAACATTTGGCTTCGTAACCCAAGACGCCATTCCAATGTAGCAGTTTTCCAAACCAACCAACAATTTTAAACTGTGTTTCTGGCAGTCATGTTGTCTCTATCACTATAAAAAAACAAATCTTCGGCAATATAGTTGTATGGGGCAGTGGAGGAGGAAGGGGTTGGGAGTGGGGGGAGTTAGAGATTATATTCAGAGTTCTATTATAGTTATATTCAGGTGAATAACACATAAATAAAATGTAAAACAACTTTTTGCAAGTCCAAGGTGGGTAATACTAGACAAGACCAGGGATAGGAAGGGAAGAATCTTACTGCAAATCACTATAATTCTGCGGTTTTTTTTTTTAAAAACAAGAAATTATATTTTTATTCTGGACACTTGTTAATTGCTTTTGTTTTGTATATATTTGAGAGTTAATCATATCTAATTTGGTTTCATACCAAGAGACATGTGAGAATTCAGTTTTACCCTCCTCCACAGCATCTCACTGTGATTAGCCTTAAACTGACAGGGAATTAGCAGTTTCTGAGTTTCCTTCTCCTCAAGATGCTAATAAGCCTTGACAGTATGGAGATCGATGCCTCCACAAATCTCAGGTTTTTCTTGTTCTGCGTAAAGCTCATTCTGAAACCATCTCGGTGGCTGCATGTTAGTACATGGATTCTAGAAGGGAGAGAACATAGCAGGCTTCCTGGAGGCTGCAAGGGGCACATGGCTTACCGCTTCCATCAGGCCCTTCACCGTGGGAGACTTCAGCATCAACGCATCGAACACATCGTCGGTCTCCTTCCTCACGTACAAGAGCACTGGAAAAGAAAGGCAGGAGAACCACGTGACCGAGGGCCCACACAATTCCGCAGCTGCCCCAGGGGATTGTTTCCTGTCACATAGGTGTTGCAGGCTGGCACCTCCTTCGAAGCCTCAGACCCCTGGCCCAGACGACACTCAACAAAGGGTGACTGAGACATCTCCACAAGCAACCTGTGGCTAGGGACTATTAAGGAATGATTCAATGAGATAAACCAACAACCCGACTGTAAGAAGCTTTGACATCAGTGCTCCCAGTGGAATTTCTCCACATGGGTACACGACATCTCTTTCTGCAGCGTCTTTCTTCTATGTTATTTGTTCCTTTGACAAATATTACTGAATGCCCACCTGGGCCCAGAGGCTGTGCATGCTAGGAGCTGGGGGTGTAGCAGTGTGAGTTAAGTCACAGCCCCTGTCCTTAAGGAGTTTGTAGTCCATTTAGAGAAGCAGACATGCCTCACATAAGCAGACTAGACACAGGTTATAAAGAAAAATGACATAGGGGCCTGGCCTTGACCTGGAGGGGTTGGGGGAAAGCTCCTGGAAGGGTCCTTTGAAGGAGAGATCCAAGTTGTGAATTGTGTGTGTGTCAATGCAGGCAAATGACGAGGTGGGGGCAGTGGGGACAAAGGGAGGAGAGGGAGAGCAAACTCCAGGTAGATAACCAACATGAGCACAGGCCTGGGAGGGAGACGGACAGTCTGAAACCAGGGGAAGAAGAGACTTAGGATCTGGAGTCCCACAGGGCTGACTTTGACCCCAGAGTGCAAACCCTGCTATGGGCCCTGGTCATTTAAAGTCTCCAAGCCTTGGTCTCTGTGAAGCAGAGATAATATCTGCCTTGCAGGGCTACTTTGAGGGTTAAATGAAATAAAAGCCATGTGGCTCGCTTAGCCCAGGGCCTGCTTACAGCAAGTACCCATCCTCAATCAATGGGGGAAGCAGCTGTCACAGTTCTGGTGCCCTCAGTGAGGTGGAGTACAGCAACTCTATTTCTTTCTCTGCAAAATAACATTCTGAATTTGAGAATGTAGAGAGTATGAGAAATGGTAGGGAGGTCTCAGCTATCTTTAAAGATGTGCACACTCAAGTTCAGAGAGGCTGAGACACTCCCCCAGGGTCCCACAGACATGACAGCTGCTGGCAGATGTTCCTTCTGCCACCCTTGCCCTTCACCTGTCCCCATCCTTACAGCAGTTGTGTTCTGAGGCTGAGCTCCCAGAATAAACTTGGAACTGTCATTCAGAGGCCACCCTCATCCCCACTGAGCGGTTTCCCTCCTCCCAGGGAGATGGCTTCTGATTCTTCCTTCAAAGGGAAGGAAGAGGGTTAAGGCTGAAGCCCCGTGGCCATCTAGGGAAAATGCACAGGTCAAAAAATCCTGCCAACTCTGGGTACCAGCGACACTCAGATACCAACAAAGCCAGAAACCAGAAAAACAAAGTTGAAGCTAGAAAATGAAATCAGCTCTCATCCAAACTCCCTCCCCTCCTCCCTCTCCTCCCAGTCCCAGAGGACTTCATTAAAGCTGGTTGCTTCACAAAGGCCAAGTCTACACAGGTACATGTGGCTTCTGCCTGCATTTCTTTTCTGCAGGCTGTGGATGTTCAATTAGTGTGTGTGGGGGTGTGAGGGGAGAAAGAAAGAAAAAATAGTAATAAAGAACAAGTATTTCTGATTCTCTTCTCTTTACCAAATATAAAAATAAAGTACCAATTAAATAAATAGAATGTGCCTCCAAAGATTTCCAAATTTAGTTCCTTGGAAGGAATATTTTATAGCCTTCATTTCAGCTAAAATAATCTAATGACCTAATGGCTATTAGAAGAGGACTCGGTGTTAGCAGTACAAGGAAAAATAATTAGAATACAGGACCTCAGTTACATCCAGATAAGGAAAATTCAAGTCAAGGAAAAAAACCATTGGTTGCTGCTGCAGATGAACAGTCTATAACTTCTCTCTGCAGCCCCAAATAGGAAACAAAAAGTAATTTCCAGCAGGCTGACCCCTAAATTACATTCTTTTATTTTGAGACAGAGTCTTGCTTTCACCCAGGCTGGAGTGCAGCAGCCTGGTATCAGCTCACTACAGCCTCGGCCTCCTGGGTTCAAATGAATCTCATGCCTCAGCCTCCTGAGCAGCTGGGATTGCAGGCGTGTGCCACCACATATGAGTAATTTTTTGTATTTTTAGTAGAGAAGGGATTTTACCATGTTGGCCAGGCTGGTCTCGAACTCCTGGCCTCAAGTGATCCACCTGCCTGGGCTTCCCAAAGTGCTGGAATTACAGGCATGAGCCACAGCGCCCCACCCCACAAACCATATTCTCTTATGAGTACTGCTTCCACTGGATTTACAAATCTTTTCTTTTGAAATCATGGTCTTTAAAATGATACGGCTGCTACTCTTGCTTCAGGTATGGCTGGAAAGTGTGAAGGGAGCCATGTTGATGGGCCTGGGAGAGGCACCAGGCAGGGCAGTTCCACCATTCCCCTGCTGGGCCTGTTGACAGCAAATCATGGGGCATGCTGGTCTCACAGTTTACCCTGACAGCTTTTGCAGGGAGTCAGCTTTCATTACTCTGTAATAATCACTCTGCTGATAGTCGCAAGAACAACCATTACGTGTCCCAGGCATTGTGCAGCCAAAGGCAGGTAGCCACATGGCAGCCCGCAAGGGACTCCCACCCAGCTACCTTGACAAATGGCCACAAAGGCAAAAACCAATACTCATGGCATTAGTGATAATTATGCTCATTCTCTCCTCTTGGAGAACTTCTAACAAATAAACGATAGACAAAGTCACTAAGGCTGATTCTCCTACTTGTCAAAGACCAGCTCAGCAGATGCTCCGAGCAAAGGGTCCAGTAACTCCACTGACCTTTTCTCAAGAAGTCACTCCTGGGGAGAGTCCTTCACTGCTGAAAGGTTACAGCGCCCTCATGTGTCTATGATTCAGATGTTTCAAAGGCCACAGCCCAACACAGTTTCTAGGGGCAAGTTTGGTGCTGGTTTCATAATCTCAAAATAATCTGAATAACAGTCTTTGGGTTAACCTCAGGCACTCCATATGAAGGCTAGCTATAATTAGCTTCACCTGTGTGATTCTGTGATTCCTGATATCCATGTCACTGCCCTGACTCTCTAGAAAAGCCATCCAAGAATGAAGTTCAAAGGTACTGCAATATTTGATGGTGAGTTTGTGAAGTCAGAAATTCTTTTAAAGGTTTGGCGGGGCATGGTGGCTCACACTTGTAACCCCAGTACTTTGGAAGGCTGAGGCAGGCAGATCACTTGAGCTTCAGAGATCGAGACCAGCCTGGGCAACACGGCAAAACCCTATTTTACCAAAAAATTAGCCAGGTGTGGTAGTGTGCACCTGTTGTCCCAGCTACTCAGGAGGCTGAAGTGGGAGGACCACCTGAGCCTGTTAGGTGGAGGCTGCAGTGAGCTGAAATCATACCACTGCGCTCCAGTCTGGGAGACAATGAGACTCTGCCTCAAAAAAAAATTTTTTTTAAAGAAACTTTTGTAAAGATTTAAATGTTTCTAATGTAGCATTTATGCTGTTTCCATTCTGAAGCACTAATTACTTACCTAGAGTTATGATAATATCACTTAACTAGTTACTAATAATAAAATGAACAGTTACAACAGTGAACACAGAGTACTGCCCCTGTGTGTGGTGCTAGCCTAAAATGTCTCCCAGGTATTAACTCCTCAGTCCTCACGAAGCTCTGTGAGGTGGGCACTCCTGCCATCTCCTTTTTACAGATGAGGGCTCCGTGGAGAAGAAGGGTGAGGAACCTCTCCAAGGTCACACAACAGTAGGTGGCTGTGGCAGGATACAGAGAACTGACCGCAGTGCACATCCCATCACAACACACAGGAAAAATAAAATCAAATTTCTCAATAACAAAGCACTCAAGTCTATGCAGATAGCAGGCATATTTAACATGCTGAACTGACTCACTGCAAGTCCATACTGCTGGGAGGCTGAGGCAGGAGGATAGCTTGAGCTCAGGAATTTGAGACCAGACCAATGTATTGAGACCTTGTTTCTACAAAAAACTAAATTAGCCAGACACAGTGGTGCATGCCTCTGGTCCCAGATGCTCAGGAGGCTGAGGTGGGAGGATAGCTGAAAGCCAGCAGGTCAAGGCTGCAGTGAGCTGTGATCACGCCACTGCACTACAGCCCGGGTGGCGGGGTAAGACCCTGTCAAAAAAAAAAAAAAAAAAGTGTCTAGTACTAGCTAGGTCTTGGGTCTCTAGAAGCCTTAGTGTTGGCTGCAGCAGGATACTGGGGTGAATGTGCACCCACACACTTTCCTCTTACTCCATGGGAGGGCAAGGAATCGTGCATGATATTGACATGCTGAGCAAGACATGGACACAGCCAGCTTTGTTTCTTACCCTCTTGATGAAGCAGAGTAAGACCCTTGACTGAGAGAAAATGAGTCAGTGGTGATGCCACAGAAACCTAAGGCTCATTTATTTGTGTGAGATGAATCATTTGCATGTATTGAATGAGGCTCAATCTCTGCTTCTTATGAGGTGTGACTGTTACACACATACACATACACACACACACAAACACCAAGAGTTTCATTCTTAACCTTGTACCTCACTGCAGGATGAGTCTGTTTATTCATTACGTTCTCCCAAGGCAAAGGAACCAAGGGATAACAAATGTTTACTTAAGGTGTTTAAAATGACAGCGTTTAAAGCACAGGAGAAGACTACAGACTTCCCGTGTGAAGAGAAAGTCACCAGGCTGGCACAGAGCCGCAGGGGCCTGGGCAAGGGGGCCGCAAGCTCTTCTTAGGAGAGATACCCTGCACCCCTTCTGGGAGGGCATGCCCCAGTAGGAGAGATACCTCGCTTCGTCCCTTCTTCTTTCATCTGCTTAGAAGGCACTGGACCAAACTCCTCTTCCATGGGCCTGAACATCCGTTTAACAAGAACACTGCTGCTAGAAAAGATAAGCAGAAATCCTTAAGTAAAACCGGCAAGGTGTCAAAACACACGTTCATGTGCCTGTCAGTTTCTGTCTTTTCCTTGGCTTATACCATTCCTATGCTCCATAGCTGGATCCACTCACCAACCTCCTTCTTCCCCTCGCAGGTCCCAAGCAATCCCTGTCTGAAGCAGCACACACCACTAGCTTCAGGGCATGGACCCAACTCGTGCTTCCCGCTGTGGAATATGGATCCACTAAGGTGAGACTTCAGGGTTTTACCCACTCCGTCCAATACCTATCCCTTCTTTCCGCTCAGGATCGAGGCTGCGGGGAAGGAAATCCCTGGCGTCAGTGTGGTGTCCAAGTCACATCAGCTCCTCCCAACCAGCTAAGGCCTGGGTGGCCTACCCCTTTTGCCGACCCCTTGGGGCACAGCAGTGACCTCTGGAAATGCTGTGAGCCTGCCGTAGGTTCTGTGATGCGGCTGTCCTGCCTTCCTGATGCTCTGCCTCTCCATTTGGCTGCAGCAAATGGACTGCAGTGGTGGAAGTTCCTTAGACACTCAGACCTCAGCTGCGCAGGCCTTCGTTCCTTCTCAGGAGAGGTTTGCAGTCTCCCTTCCCAGAAGCCTGTGGTGCTGAGGCCCTGCAAGTCCCCAGCTCAACCAGTTCTGATGGGTCTCCACGTCCTCCCACAGTCCCTGTTCATTCTGGGCACCCTACACAAGGGGAGGAATTTTTTTTTTTTTTTTTTGAGAGAGAAATAGAAATCAAGAGGATAGAAGTCACTGATACTGAAAAAATGCCACCGAATGGAATCTTAAAATAGTAAGATTCAAACCTTCAATGGAGCAGATACAGGTTTTTAGAAATATTTAGCCTGTCTAAAGATTCCTGGGACCCAGTGCTGGTCACTACCCCAAGACACAATCCCAGATGCCATGATTTTGAATGTTGAAATCCCAAAAATATGACATGAGGGATTTTAGACTTCAGGACTTTTGATCTTTTGAGGTTTCAACATTCAGGATTAAGGCCCAGGCACATGAAACAATGCCAGACAGGCAGCTTGCCAGAACTATTAAGACAGGAACTCTGGGACCAGATTACCATGTTTAAATATCTGCCTTACAATTTGCTATAGGAGCCTGGACCTGTTCCTCAACTTTCTTGGGTCTCAGTCTCCTTATCTTTCAAAGGAAGCTGTTAAGAAAATTAAATAAATTCCCATGTGTAAAGCACTCAAGTGTTAACACATAGTAAGCACTCTTCAAGTGTTAGATGAAGATGACAACGACCTACAATGACAAGTTGGAGAGACTCGAGGAAGAGAGAGCTTGAGAACAGTAAACAAGGCAGACAGTTTGAAAGAGGGTGAGAGTATCCATTTACCATCAGAGAGTGGACATTCCAAACAACACTTTTGGTCCAAATGAAAGGACTAATGTTGGTAAAGCTCCCTGCACGGGAGATTGACAGTATCATCAGTCCTAAGCTTTGAAGATCATGAAAACCTTCAACTCTCCATCAGCGTTATTGTCATTATGAAGTTATATATCAATTCTCAAGTGAAGCTAATGGTGAGGTCTAGTGGTAAGAAGAGCACATGGTATGGCCAGGCGCAGTGGGTCATGCTTGTAATCCCAGCACTGTGGGAGATGGAGGCAGACAGATCACTTGAGGTTGGTAGTTTGAGACCAGCCTGGCCAACATAGGGGAACCCCATCTATACTAAAAATACAAAAATTAGCCGGGCATGGTGATGCATGCCTGTAATCCCAGCTACTCAGGAGACTGAGGCAGGAGAATCACCAGAACCTGGGAGGCAGAGGTGTCAGTGAGCCAAGGTTGTACCACTGCACTGTACCCTGGGTGACACAGCAGCAAGACTCTGTCTCCCAAAAAAAAAAAAAAAAAAACCCACAATGCAAAACTGTAAACAGTCCCCAGAGCATTTCTGTTAAGTCTAAGAGTTTAATTTATTAAACCAATGCTGTCTTAATTTACCTTCTCATACGAGCCAGAGTACACCTTCTGGATGTACAGTATACCTTCTCTATACATCCAGAAGGTATATCTGTCCTTTGAAGTTCTTAATAAGACATCAGATATTACAAAGCACATATCGCCTCAGTCACTGAAGTCTTATGAGCACCTGAGAGCTGGCTGCGGTAAGAGCTAATTTTATCCATTTCATTGATGACAAAAGGTGCAATGTGTTAAGTGTTAGATGCAGGGCAATACAAATAATACGTGAAACGGGCTGTTCAGAGAAGCATCTTTGAGGGATCAACCTCAGGACAAAGCTACTCAATAACCCTGAGATAATGAGGATAGGCATAAGAAATGCTCTTCAGCATCAGCATCCTCTTAATTTATCTTCTAGTAAGTCAAGTTACGGAAACCACTAGAGGAGAAACTTAAAACCCAGGTCCCAGCTGAAGGTGCTAACTTATTAAAAGTTTTAGGGCACTGTTCCCTCTGCTTTCCTCTCTACCTTGTCATAAAAGCAGGCCATGTGACTCTACTGAGGTGACCATGGCCTCAGGGCTAGAAGATTAACAAACCCATTCACACAGCAGTCAGTGACCAGTAGGTTAATAACGGGTAAATAGCCTGAAATATCACCAGACACTCATCATGCTGTGCGAGAGTTCCTAAGCTAGTGACTTTCCTTTTCACCAAGCAAAATTTATTTATATTTTTCCAGTTCTGCTGACTTTTGATAGCACCCTGTTCTGAACCATGACAAACTCTACCATTAAAATAACATCTTGGATAAACACCTTTCTTTAGGGAGTTCAAAAACCTTTTTTCACACTTTCAAATCTGTAAACTCAGTAGGAGTGAATGAGTTTGTGTGGTTCAAATTCAACTGTTTCGTTTATTTTCAAAGAAGGCAAGAAAAGAAGGGCGATATGACTGCCTCATTTAACAAATGAAAAAAGCAAATTTCAGGTTCCCCAGTGCCCACTCCAACTGTAGCTCGCCATCTGTATCTGTGGCTTCCACATCCATGGCTTTGACCGACCACAATAAGAAATATTCAGAAAAAATCTGCATCTGTACTGGATATGTACAGACTTTTTTTCCTTATCATTAGTCCCAAAACAATACAATAGATCAATTACTTACATAGAATTTGCATGGGATTAGGCATTATAAATAATTTGGAGATTATTTAAGGGAGGATATGTGTTGGTCATATGCAAATACTATGCCATTTTATACCAGAGACTCTTCAGTCTGCAAATTTTGGTATCCATGGGAGGTCCTAAGGCCAATCTTCCCCAGATAGTGAGGGATAAATGTACCACAAAAAGACTGGAGAGCAAGAAAAGAGTGCTTTCTCTGACACCAATTCCAACTCCCTAGCACAATGTCGTGGCTACTATGTAGAATGATTCTAGGCCCAGCAGCACATTCAGCCATTACCTTGTAGGGTCAACTTGGGGAGAGCAAGACCCTGAGACATGAAGGTAGTGTTAAGTTTCATCAGAAAAAACAGTGGGAAGGTGTCAGGTCTGAAGCATGGATCTCTGGCCATACCTGTGAAAGGCAACGTTGTATCCTACCTGCCAGGCGCAACTTCACTAGGCATTGTTTGCCTACTGAGGAGCTGCCCAAGAAGAGTACAGAATGGGGTTGCAGGCACCACAGAGACGTAGTTTGCCTATTTCTCAACTCTGCTTGTGGCCTATGTATGCTGCTTCCATGAATGCCCTATCTAAATCGAAGTCCCTTGCCCATGTTATCCTCAGAAAAGAGGTCATCTTCTATTCAACTCTGCACAAAGTCTTTCACATTATAAAGTAGGATCTGAATGAATTTATTTTCAACAAAGTACTCTTTGGGGAATAACTTATCCCAAAATGATTTTAATTGATCCTACTTTGGGATATTTAATGGAAACCATTTGAGCTGTCAGTAAAAAAAACAAACAAACAAACAAAACCACACAGCATAGATTTAGTAACTATTATTGAAAGATGAGCTCAAAATTGCAAGTCATAAATAACGAGGTCAGTAGGCCCCAGAGGAATCATTTTCAAAGATAATACAGATATTTCTGTTTCCTGCTAAAATGGTATAGCTTGTGGCAGAGCAATGTTCTAGCCAAGATGACTTGAAAAATTGTCAAAAAATTTTTTAAATCTTATTGAAAGTATTGGAGAACTGCTGATGAGGGAGCTGGAATCTGAGGAGCTGAAATCTCAGGAGAGAACTGAAGAGAGGTGAGTTGATCATTAGTCACCACTTCTCCTCTCAAAGCATTTGCCAATTCCTAGTGGGGTGTAGCGAATGATAAGCGCACCAGAGGCTCAGACCTAAGAGCAAGGACGCTTTCATAGCTTTTGGCAATCTCATAGTGTTTGAGAAACAAAAATTGGGGCTTAGGATTACAAAGGCACCCAGAACTTATGTCAAACTTCCAGAGAGAAGGGAGGTACAGAGAAGTGAGCCAGATACTCTGCAGTATTACTGTTAAGGTATTTGCCAAGTTCTTAAGATGCATAGGACAAGAGAAGTTTTGCAAAAGCCCTTGAAAAATCACTGAAGAGGTTGTGGCAGTTTCACTACCCTAAGGAATCAACAATTAGGTATCAGTCCCCACCAAAAAAAAAAAAAAAAAGACCCAGAGTAAGTCCCTCATAACTACAACCTAGGATGAGCCAGAGGTAGCCTGAGGCTAATACAAACTGCAACCCAGGTTTGTGTCAGCTCTGTCCCTGACTCATTTATGGTGATCTGCACCCACTGAGGCAGCACAGAATTGATAAGAAAGAAATATCATCATATATAAGCTCCATAATTTTTATCTACATTGTTCACCACTGAATCAATATTTATCAAGTAGACAATAAACACGACCAAAGGAAAAACAGATGGTAAAAGCAGGTCCACATATAACATTTATATCAGTTACTTCAGGTAAAAAGTAACTTCAGTGCTGAGAAAGAACCTGATGTTGAAGATGAATTATGAAGAATTTCAACAAGTGTGTTTCACAAAACGTGATATCTATTTCTGAATTATACAATATGTTTTTCTTTAAATGTATATGTAATTAAATTAACAGAGCAAGTATCAGTAAGTCATTGACTCTTTTGGCTATAAAGATTTACCTATTCAGGTTGGCCCCAAAACTTTGCTTTCATTTTCTCCTTGGGAAACTGCAGAAATTGCCCAATATTCTTAATCACTTTATGTTCAGGTATATTTGGTAATGCATAGCCCATCACCTCCTACATTTCATGATTTGCTTGGCATCCCTGACAACCTTATCAAAGAAAAGCACTTGATTCCGTGGAAAATTGTTCCTTTAAGAGAAATAGGACTCTAGAAGAATTTTATTTTGTAACCCCATAAAAACTGATAATAAACACAGAGTGATGACTTTTTAGATTTAACATCATGTTGATTAAATGCACTCACTATTGATTGGTTAATAATTTCTGACTTTCCCAAAGGCAATAAATTCTTGCCAAAATGTGTGTTTCCATGGAAGATGAGCAGGATCTTGTTCTATTCTCAACAATGCTTTGATCGAGCTCATGGTTTGGTCTGGCAGTGTCTACAGGACCTCGGTCCTGCAGGAGAGGCAGGGCCTCTGCATGACATTTTTTAACACTCCAGGTGATTCGATTGTGCAGCAAGAGACCTACTGTTGAGAACTGCTGTCCAAAAGACTGCGTGTCTATAACTGCTGTATCCCCTGCCCACCAAATCGGTCATAGAGAGAAGTCAACAAATCTGCATGATAGTGCGGTTGCCAGGAGAGAGGCTCTTGTGTGTTATATCCTCAGTCTGGTCATTGTGTGAGTGATGCTTTTAAGCACTCATTTGCATACTTGAACACTAATGTGAGCATTAATTAATGTGAGTATTCATCAATGTGTCAGAGAGAGGAAAGAACATGGCCAATGAGTAGTCCTGAGGAAAGTTGTACAATTGCCAGTAAAGCTGGCACTCCTTAGGACTAGGTGAACACATATGGTGGCCTCAGATCTGGTCCCCTCTGCCAGATACACGCATCTGGGCTTGTTACAATCTGGATCCTACACTCCACAAAGGATGTGCCTTTGTCAAGGTCGGAAAGCTATCTCAGCGAGGGCCTGTCTCTCAATACCTGCTTTGTAGCCACAGGTCGAGAATTAAGAGGGTTAGACAATAGGGCATCACGGCTAAAAGCCAGTGATGGGAAATGCAGCAAGACCCAGGTTTAAATCCTACCTCTATCATCTATCGGCTGTCTCCTAATATTTTGAAGCCTCAGTTTCCTCATTATAAAATGGGAATAATGTGAAATCTGGGAGAATTCAATGAGATCATGCATAAAGCACTTAGCACAGTACCTAGCCAAGGTATCCAGTAACGTTAATTATCACTTTTATACACCACAGTAGCCACACACCTACCATGTCTTAACACTCGGACTCCGACACTGTTCATATCGCTCAGTCAAACTCTAGTTAGATGTGTCACAGCAAACGATGCAGGCCTTGGGTCTCATGGTTATAAAATAACACAGGGTGAGCCAACACAGAGGAGCCAAACCAATGGAGTTACAAGTAGGCCGATGGCCATCTAACTGCACTCAACTTGCAAGGAAGGACAGTTTGAGGTGAGACAGATTTACAACTGAGGCCTGCCCATCAAGGCAAATTCAGGATCTCAGGCCCTTCTCAGTCATAATACTAAGTTTTCCCACGAGAACAATAGCATGCTAGTATTAGATGGAATCTTCAAGATCGTATGCAAGATCCTCAAAGTCAATTAAGGAAACCAAAGCCCAGAGATCAAGGAGCTGGCCCAAGGCTTCACATTAGTCAGCGGCAGCCCAGGAGGAGATCTTGGGCTTCCTGAGCTCACATTCAATGTTGTTTCTGGGACACCACATTGTGCCTCATTAAATGTGGGAATTACTGATTAGAATTGACAGTGCTAGTCATTTCTGTTCATTCCAACCACTGGGAATATATTATCTATGTGCCAAGATAGAAAGAACAGTCTAAGTATTTAGAAAATTTAGAACTCAGAATTTAGAGGTTAAATCCTGGATGAGGTTCTGCTCCTAATTAGCCAGGGAATCATTTGACTCCTTTGAGATTTTCTACCTTTTAGGATAGAAGGTGGCAAACATTTTCTGTAAAGGGGCAGGCCATAAATATTTAGACTTTGCAGGCCATATGGTCTCTGTTGTAAGTACTCAGCTCTGCTGCTGTAGCAGCAAAGCAGCCACAGACAATATATAAATGAATTGACACAGCTGTGTTCCAGTAGCACTTTACTTAAAGACACTTGAATTTTATTTAATTTTCACATGTCAAGCAATATTCTTCTTCTTTTGAATTCTTTTCAACCACTGAAAAATGTAAAAACCATTTGTAGTTTGCAGACTATACTAAAATAGGCGGTGGCCCCAATTTTGTCCTGTGGCTATAGTTTGCCAACCTCTGCTCTAGGAATAAACTCAGCAATGTCTGCTCCATTTAGCCAACTGTGAAATGTTTTGCAAGTAAATATATTAATTATTTAAGAATAGGAAAGCCCTGGTTTGATTGTAGTATGAAGAAAAAAGATCTAAAGATTTTAGTGACACATATGTAATGCAACCAAGAACATAAGGTAGCTATTGAAAATGCAGGTAGTTCTAGATTACTTAGAGTATAAAATAGCACCCACGTCCTAAGAAGGAATCTCCCAATATAATCTGTAACTCAGGTGGTTCAGAACATATATTTATTCTGACACAGCCAATTTTAAGGAAACTACTAATAAATTTAGTAGTATACCTTGGAGAGAAATTAAGATGTTGAGAAGTAAAACTATATTTTACAAAGAACAGTTGTAGGGAGGAAGGGGATGTTTGAATGACATGAGAAGATGAGACTTATCCAGAGAGCAGAACTAAGGCCAATGGGTAGAAGTCAAAAGAAGGCAGACATCCACTCAACAGACAAAATAACTCCCTAAGAGCTGGAATTGTCCAACGGTGTCATGAGCTATCTCACACCCAGTGAACTCTCTATCACTGGGAATTTTCAGGTAGAACATGCTGGCTGCTCATCAAAGAGGTGGTATAGCTGTTACCATCATCTACAAGAAGAGGTCAGCTAAATGACCATAAGATGTCTTTTTGGCCCAAAAATTCTGAGTCTACAAAATGAGTTAGTGGATAGAAAGCACTTTGAAGACCTGGCTCCTCCTAAAAGCCTGCAGGACCACATTCAGGCGTGTATCCTAGGCAAAGATGGAGAACATCTCCCATCACTCTTATGCAGACATGATGTGGAGACATTGAGAGTTTCTGTGACTGTCTCTTGCCTACAGTTGAAAAGGTTCTCAGTCCAATTGGTCTTCCAACCAGCCTCACTACTGGCCTATCGGGCTAACTTCTCAGGGAGAGGCTTTGAGAGTTGTGCGTGCAGCCCAGGCAGTACTGGAAGTAGGGTAGGCTGTCATCTTTGACTCTTGCCTCAAGCTCATCTTGCTCTTGTGTTGGGGCCAAACAATGGGTAAGAAGGACTATCGAGAAGATTTCAGCAACTGGATTATTAATGAAAGGATGGAATGGAAGGGATGGGGCCCTTAGAAAAACAGCTAGTTATTCAAAGAGGTGGGTCATAGACAGGAGCAGGTGTGGAAAGAGTCCTAAAAGTAGAAAGCTATTCATTCCTCCAGGCCCCAGCCTCCCTCCCAGATGGTCCCCAGAATCAAGCATCTCTCAGCTCTGAGCCCTGAGGTGAGAGGACAGTTTTACTTTCTACCTAGAGTTACCCAGTGCTGGAAGTGCCATTACCACTGACTTGAGGTGTTGAAATGAAAGAACTGAGTGTCTTACCCTTCTCGTTCATCATCCGTGTTGTAATACACCTGTGGAACAAAACAATAGGCTTACTGTAGGTCAGAGACACGAAATGGAAAAATATCACATGATGTACAGACTTGCCCAAGGCATAAGCTGTTTCTCAAAAAGGCAAATACTAACCTTTTTAAGGATACTGTGTTTTGTGTGTGTGTGTGTGTGTGTGTGTGTGTGTGTGTGTGTGTGTGTGTGTGTGTATTTCTAAGGAAATGCATTTTTAACCTCCTTGTAATCTCCGTGGGGTTAATGTTTAGATTTTAGTGAAATACAATTGGAAATCTGATTATTTCTAGCTAAAGTCAGTCTGGTTAGATTAACTCTGGCATTAAGCCAAATCTTACCCTTGACATTAAGGAGACATTTTGGTGGGATCTAAAATTCACTGTTTACAAAGGCTCTGGCTTTGTAGGGTGGGTCCTTTTCCTGCCCCCGTGTAGCACAGTGTCTGGAGTCGACTTGCCTGTGGACCATGTGGCGGATGGAGAGTGGGGTAAGAGAGCAGCATGACAGTAACTAGGCCTGTCTACTTACTCCCCAAAGGGGCCAGGTTATCCTGGCATCCCAGAACCACAGAAATTTAGGAGTCAACAGTCTTCAGACCAGGAAAGGTCATTTAGCTCTAGAAGGTGTTCCTGGCCAGAAGGAAGATCTCCAAAGACAGACTAGGGAGTTAGCATGGCAGAGGGCAGAATCAGATTAAATAAATTACAAAGCATTCTTATTATTTTATAGAACCCTCTGGGAGAAATCCAGAGGGCATCTGCTATGTATATATGTCCTCTTAACCCCATTATTTGTAAACACTAATTGTGGGCCTTTTTTCAGCTTTATCTGTGTGTGTCAAGACAGTTTGGGTGAAGAATAATACCTGAGTTAGTATCAGACATTTACATATTAACTCAAAAGTAGCCCCTGATGCTAGTACATCTAGTCACCATCCCTGCCCCAGCCTTGGAGAGAAACAGCTATGCCTAGATGGACAACCTCCCTACAAACCTTCTCAAAGGCTCTTGGCAGTTCCTGGGATGCTGCAAACCTAGACATGGTTATAAAACAAGACTGGTTACTTGGAACTCTGGGAATGAGTCATTCTAGTCATTAGCTCAGATTTCTGCAGGAATTTTTCCTGTTTTTTAATGGCTAGTATTGTACGGTATACTTAGTTTCTTCTTAAACGGAAAACAATGGAGGCAAGTTTTTTCTCCCCACCTCAAGTCTCAGTGTGGTATTCAGAGCATGAACAGGACTGCCTACTTTCATGAATACGGAGTAACCTACCTAAGTGAAGGAGGCTGGGGCATTCCACTGGCCATACAACTGGATTGTTTTGAAAAAGTTCCCCATGTTGGCATGTGTTTTACTGCTTTCTTTAAATGTGGCATAGTGCATCTCTCTGGCCTGACTCCTGGCCTCTGCAAAGTTGGTTGGTGACTCAAAGATGGAAGCAGGCTTCTCTTAGGTGTCTTCCCACCCTCCTGAATGGTCTCTACTTCACTGTCCCTACCACTGTCTCTTCTTTGTCATTTCTCCTTCTTACCCATAAGGACCAACGATTTCTTGTCAGCTGTTGGGTTCATTGCCCTAACTTAATTTCTAGAGCATGTTTTTCAAACTTTAGAGTGTATAAAAACATCTGGAAACTTTATCATAAACAAAAATTTCTGGAACTCACTTGGGAAATTTTAATTCAAAAGATCAAGAATGGAACTCAGGAATCCAAATCCTTATCAAGAACTCCTATGATATGGGGGAAGTTTGTTTACAAACAACAGTGCAGGAGATGGTTTCTGAGCATGTGAGGGAAAAAAAGAGTCCTCCTCGGGTTCAAGTGTTTTGGGGAAGGCTGATGCCTGCAAAGTAGATATTATCTATAACGATGATGCCTCTGCATCCCACCAATTTTTCCCAATCTCACCTAATCACATGACCTTTAAAAGCATCCAGAAATAAACAGCCTGAATATCAGGGATTCAATATCAGGTGAGTAAAACTGAAGGGCTCCATAGAGCCTGTACATTGGATTTATTCCTTCACATTAGTTTTGATAAGTATCTGAAAAATATTTCAATCCATATGTGAATCAATGAGATAACGGGAAGGTTGGGGGGCATGTGGACTGACAGTGAAAAAACCCATTCCCCAAGTCATGTCCTTGAGTGAACACGGACTGCTGCCCTGTAGTTTTAGCATAGCTCACAGGTGCCTCACTAGCCATGAGAACCGCAGGACTGCTGGCCCTGCAGTTGGGCACAGCTGCAATGCAGCTGATTTTAGCAAGCTCAGGACTGCAGTGGCTTCTGAGATACACATTAGTCCTTGAGTCTCTCTTGCTCCCCTTTATATTTCTATCCCCTTAAGGGAAACAAGCCATATCCTTTGACCTGCCACTGAGAGCTCTTGTTTTGCAGGTCAAAGTTGGTCAGTCTCTGCCCCATCCCCAAATCTAAGGCCATGGCACTGCCTATTCCCTCCTGTCTTTGGAAGGATCTCCCGGGCATCTATCTTTTTTTGAGAAAATGCAGTCTTAAAGTCCCTAGCCAGCCACTGTCCAAGCTCCTTTCCTTCAGCTAAGTTAGCTGATCAACCACAGCATAGTCACAGGTTATTCTAGAGACAGTTGAGTGTGTTCCTTTGTTTCCAGAAGCTCAGAGCAGGCTTCTTCACTGACCCCTCTTCTCCAAATCCAAGGCCATGGAAGAAGCCAGAGAGCTCTGAGGAAGGCCTCCAGATATACAAGGGGGATATACAAGTAGGATATTCAGGGGGATATAGAGGCAGGACATGTAGGGGGATATAGAGGCAGGACATATAGGGGGATATAGAGGCAGGACATGTAGGGGGATATACAGGCAGGATATTCAGGGGGATATATAGGAAGGATATACAGGGGGCACTGATTGGGCTGCCTGGCAACTGCTGAAACCAACAGATTGTAAAGTCTTCACTTTCCTTCTGATTCCACCTCAGGCTGACAGCCGGGCTCCTGACACCCAGGCTCATGACATTCAGGGGACAAGACAGGTCAGTGGACTGACAGTCAGGAGCAGCCGGATAGGGCCACTTTTAAGATTAATTTATCCTTTGTATATTTTGGAGAAAGCTTGTCAAAAGAACTGGTCAGGTTGTCAGCTTTGACATGGAACTGAGGCCAGAGTCATGACAACAAACCAAACAAGAACAATTTAACTCAATTGTCCCTTCTTCTCAAAGGTGCAGAAACCTGGCTCCATAAACTCCCATGGGGCACAGACAGTGCAGACACAAACCACCACCATGGTCTCGGGAATTAAATAAATAAATAAGTGCTGGCACGCTTATCTTGATAAATTACAAAATTCTTCCTCCCTACTTTGTGTCCTTGTTCTTATCCATCAAGTAAGACAGGATGAAAATGTTAAATTGGTTTTTAACGGTTTTTTTGTTTGTTTGTTTTGCTTTTGAGACGGAGTCTTGCTCTGTCGCCAGGTTGGAGTGTAATGGCATGATCTCGGCTCACTATAACCTCTGCCTTCCAGATTCAAGCGATCCTCCTGCCTCAGCCTCCCAAGTAGTTGGGACTATAGGCATGCGCCACCACACTCAGCTAATTTTTGTACTTATAGTAGAGACAGGGTTTCACCATGTTGGCCTGGATGGTCTCTATCTCCTGACCTTGATTCACCCACCTCGGCCTCCCAAAGTGCTGGGATTACACCACACCCGGCCATTGTGCTTTAAGAAACAGCTATAGGCATTTTATTCCCATGTTGGATCATGAGTAACAACAAAAAGCTGTGGTTGTAGAATTGCTTTGTCTCATGAATATAATGAAAGAACACACTGAATCCTGGGGGACAAAATACATGCAAAAGAGAAAGTAAAGCCAATAGTGATTTCTTTCTACCCTAAGGTCAATTCCAATGAGTGTTTGCATGCTTAGAATGAAAGAAAAACTTAAATGTGTCAGTATGCCTTTATTTCTCAAAACAGATGTTTCCTTAAAGGACTTTGGGTTTAAAAGAAAACTAATGGATACAAAAATTCATTAAAACCCAATTGGTTTGGTAAAAAATAATTCTGGCTAATGCTAAGGAAATAATTATTTTTTTCTTTTTTCACACAATTTTTATTTATCACATAACAGAAATATACTAAAAAGAAAAAGAAAAATCAGCCATATCTCATAACCCTGTAAAAAGTGTTGCAATTTTTCTTGCTCCCTTCAAATTCAGTTATATATTTGGGATGATAATATAAACACAAATTACTATTCTACATTTTCTTCCCACTGAACATTATCATAACGAGGTCCCATGTTGCTATGTAGTTTCCATAATTAAAATTTTAGTGACCACATAATATTCCATCAACTTGAGCTACCATAATGAGTTAATTATTGGACATTTATGTTAGTTTGAGATCTTTTCGTTTCACTTGTAGATATAACTAGGAGAGAAGAAGTTTTTTAAAGGGGGATTGTCTACAACCTTATTTTTCTTTTGATGTGAAATGATTTACCTATGAAATGGGAACCTTTTATTTACTAAGTGAAAAGTTGTTGGAGTTTTATTTAAGCTGAGACTTTCCCTTTATGCAACTTTATGGAGTTTTAGGTGCAGTTCAACTTCTCACCATTAGGTGGAGCTCTATTGCGTCAGGATAATCCAGTCCACGACAAAGCTGTCAGAACACAACTTGCAGGTTATCAGCCTTCTTACTTTCTTCCTCTTCCACTCTTTGTCAAGACTTCACTAATATCAGCTTACTCTCCTCTCCGACTTAGTTTCCTCTCCTGAGACATTCCTTTCTATAAAAATGCATTTACTAGAGGGAATGACATTGACTTTTTCTCTAGTAAATGGAAGGTAAGTTATTTTTGAGGTCAACACTGCTTCTATTTTAAGGCCCTCCCTGCCCTGTGGATGGATGGGAGGTGGACATTAGCTGGTAGGTCATACCTGTCCGGTCCTCTGCAGGTTTGCAAAGTGAACATCAGGTATGAAGAGAACTGGCTGGGAGTGGAGATCAGGCATGGTTTTGAAGTAGGTGATGTCACTCTTCTTCTGTAAAGGGATGGCGGCCAACTTCCCATCAGAGGCTGGATGGGATCACAAAACTCATAAATGACAGAGTAAGGTATGACTAAGAACTCTCAATTCTAGGTCCTAAAGTCCATGGTTTTCTCCTATGAAGCTTCTTGAATACCACAGATGCAAATACACTTTAGCATCCCCCACTACCCCTAACCCAGCAAAACCAACAGGAGCATGGACTTCAGCTGAGCACTCCTGAGGTGAAGCATAGGATCCCTCACACCCTTCTGTCCCTTTATGCACCCAAGATTCCTTGACTGCAGAAGGAGGATGTTGGTCTCCAGCCTATTACAAAGTCCTTCCTAGCTCAAACACACTGTGCTCATGTGATTCTATTTGCTTTTCACAGGGATAATCAATCACCTGTCTCCACTGCCAGGGGAAAGTAAGCCATACCTTTTATGTATGTAGTTGTACCTGCAACCCACTTCTTCCACCTATTCCCCTAGTGGACACAGCCCACATCGAGTCTCCCCTGTAGAAAGCAACATTAGTCTCAGTGAAACTCACAGCTGTTGCACTGAGTTTGGGAAGCCTGGCCTTTCCCTTTCTTCCTGTTCTGCTTTCTCTCTTCGTCTCGGATTTTTCTTTCTGCTCCCTGATAGGAAAAAAGAAAAAACAAATAGACAATGCCAGGCATATTAGCAGAGCATGCAAAAGTCACGTCACACATAAGTCATGAGGATATGAAACAATACAGCAGTGGAGGAAACCAGGCAGCCCCATTTCTATTCCTCTGGCAAGGTTGAACTTTGGCCCTGAAAGCCACAAGCACTCATAAGTCTATACCACATTTGTGACCTGTGAGGGATCCTGCTTCTCCTGGATTTTCTCTCCTTTTTTGGTATCTTTCCTATTTAAAGAAATTCAGTTTTGAATCCATATGGAAAGAATCAACCCAGTTCGCTAACCCAGTGAAACCCATTAAGTAACTTTAGTGATTATAATAAAATGACAGAAGATGAAGCATTGACCCATTAAATTTATTCCTAGGCAAGAAGAGGGCTTTAAAATGTGAATTCCCTATAAAATGTTTCCTTTGCTTTCCTTTTAAACTTCAAAAAATTCTTATAGTGGTGGAAATGAAAGAAGCCATCAGGAAACCACACAAGATGCAGGATCACTTTGTACAAATAAGTATAATTTTTGTTTTTGTTTCAATATTTCCATATGTTCTTAGAGATGGTGCTCATTCAACCAAACAGAAAAATGTTTAGTCTATTCAACTCCTTTTTGCTCCTCTGTTTTTGCAGCTTGGCTTTTTCACGGATTCCTCTTGCTAAATTGCCAAATTGCATCCTACTTAACCAATTGACCATCACCTTGTATCTCTTTACTTCATTGCCTATGATGATGCTCTATCTTTTCTCTTTGCTTATTTCTCTATACAAGCTTTGCCAACTCATTTTGTTCTCCTTGTCCCCCAAATACAGACATTCCAACATGGGTTCCTTTACCTTGCCCTATTTCCACTCTTGCCGTGGAAGAATTAATCTGCATCTTTGTTTTCACAAGGCACTAGGCAGGTGACACTCTGATCGACATCTCCAACCTAAACTCCTTCCCTAAGTTTCAGATTCACATTTGCAGTTCTTGCCCATTGTGGTGGTATATTTAGGGAGCAGCAATGCACAGACCAGTCAGTAACCTTTCACCCTTCAGAAATTGTCCCCACATCATCATGTATAAAACAGGTAAGATTTAACAACATAAAAATGTAATCCTCCTGTATGCAAATCAATTAAGAGACAAAGGACAAGTTGGTGAAAATACTTGCAATAAAATAGCAAATAAAATGTCAAATCCTTAACATATAAATAATGATTCAAATTTTAAAAACAGCTAGCATACTAAAAGAAAAATGGACAAGAGTCATGAAATAGGCAGTTCACAGAAAAAGACACACAAATGGTTTGACTTATATAAAACAATGAGATATAGTTTTTGTTTATCAAATTGGCTTTTGTAGAAAAGCAGATTCCCAATTCTGGCCAGCATGACGCCATGACACAATGAGAATTTGTGGTCAGTGAAAGCTCCACAGAAGAGATGGTTTATGGCTTTTAAACTAATTTTTAGAGAATGAGTAATAACAGCTAACTCTGTGCCACGGAATTTCTAAGAGCTTTACATAATAGAATTGAAATAGCTTCATATTTTAACCAAATAATTTAAATATACATTTTTATATTTTAATAACTACCAAATGGAGTCATTTTACTTACTACCAAAGGGGGTAATTTTATAGTGCTCCATTTGAAATTCTGAATTGTCATCGACACTTGTAGATCATGGAAACTCACAGCAAGAGGGGCATAAAATATAAAACTATCTGCTTGGAAAGTCTCTTCATGATATATAAAGGTTTTGCACAGTTTTTGTGCTGGAAAACATGTTTTCAAAAAATGAAGTATTAAATGCGCAGATACAATCTTCAATTGGATGTGAAGCATAAGCAAGTGGGTTCTTCAAAATAGTAAAGTCTGTAATAGAAGTTATTTTTTTTATTGGGTCCATGAGAGGCATTTTTCTATGTGTTTGGAGCTCTGTACGATGTAACATTTAATATAAATAAAATTTAGATATTTGTTAACCTGTATAAATCACAGCTGCCGCAAGAAACACCCCAAGTTGGGTCAAGGAATTTGATTTCTGAGTTAACGTTTTATTTTGTGCTATTTATGAGGAAGGGGACAAGAATTAATCTGTTTCAAGATTTATATACAGGCATACCTCAGAGGTACTGTGGGTTCAGTTCCAGACTCCCATAATAAACCAAATATTGAAATAAAGAGAGTCACACATTTTTTTTTTTTTGGTTTCCCAGTGCATAGAGAGGTTATGTTTGCACTATACTATATCAAGTGTGCAATAGCATTATGTCTAAAAAACATACATATTTTTAAAAATACTTGTTTAAAAAAAAGAGATACTGAGGCTTTAGCAATTTGTAGTATTTTTGCTAATAGTCTTATCTCAATGTTGATAGCTGCTGACTCATGAGGGTGGGGGTTGCTGAAGGTTGGGGTGATATAGCAATTTCTTAAAATAAGACAAAAATGAAGTTTGATGTATCAATTAACTCTTACTTTCAGGAAAGATTTCTCTGTAACATGTGATGCTGTTTGATAGCACTTTACCCACAGTAAGACTTCTTTCCAAATCGGAATCAATCCTCCGAAGCCCTGCTGCTGCTTTATCAACTAAGTTTATGTAATATTCTAAATTCTTTGTTGTCATTCCAACAATGTTCACGGGCTCTTCACCAGTAGTAGATTCTGTCTCACTTTCTTTGCTCATTCGTAACTCCTCATATGTTCAAGTTTTCACATAAGATCGCAGCAATTCAATCACAACTTTAGGCTCCACTTCCAGTTCTAGTCTTGCTATTTCCGTCACATCTGCAGTTACTTCCTCTACTGAAGTACTGAACACCTCAAAGTCATCCATGAGGTCTGGAATCAACTTCTTCCAAACTCTCGTTAATGTGAATATATTGACCTCCTTCCTGCCCATATGAATCGTGAATATTTTTAACGGCATCTGAAATGGGGAATTCTTTCCAAAAGGCTTTCAATTTATTTTGCCCAGATCCATCAGAGGAATCACTATCTACAGCAGCAACAGCCTTAACAAACATATTTCTTAAATAATAAGGCTGGAAAATCAAAATTATTCTTTGATCAATGAGCTGCAGAATGGACGTTGCTGTGTTTGCAGGCATGAAAACAAGACTAATCTTTTTGTACATCTTCACCAGAGCTCTTGGGTGACTAGGAACACTGTCAATTAGAAGGGATCTTTGTTTCCTGAGCAGTAGGTCTCAACAGTGGGCCTAAAATTAAGCCCACTGAAAACACATCAGCTGTCATCCAGGCTTTGTTGTTTTATTTACAGAGCAAAAGCAGACTAGATACAGCAAGATTCTTAAGGACCCTAGGATTTTTGAAATGGTAAATGAACACTGACCTCAACTTAAAGACAGCAGCTGCATTAACCCCTAACAAGAAAGTCAGCCTCTCCTTTGAAGCTTCCAAGCCAGGAATTGACTTGTCTCTAGCTATGAAAGTCCTAGGTGACATCTCCCAGTAGGAAGCTGTTTCTTCTACAATGAAAATCTGTTGTTTAGCATAGCCACCTTCATCAATGATCTTAGTTACATCTTCTGCATAACATGCTGCAGCTTGCACATCAGCACTTGCTGTTTAATCTTGCACATTTATGTTATGGAGATGATCTCTTTGCTTGAATCTCATGAAGTGATCTCTGCTAGCTTCAAACTTTTCTTCTGCAGTTTCCTCATCTCTCTCAGCCTTCATAGAGTTGAAAAGAGTTAGGGCAGTGCTCTGGATTAGGCTTTGGCCTAAGGGAATGTTGTGGCTGGTTTAATCTTCTATCCACAACTTTCTCCACAACAGCAATAGGGCTGTTTGACTTCCTTATCATTTGTGTGTTCACTGGAGTAGCACTTTTAATTTCCTTTAACCACATTTCCTTTGCATTCACAACTTGGCTAAGTGTTACAAGAGGCCCAGCTCTTGGTCTATGTCAGCTTTTGACATGCCTTCCTCTGTAAACTTAATCATTTCTACCTTTTGATTAAAGTGAGAGAGATGCAACTTTCCTTTCACTTGAACACTCAGGGGCCATTGTAGGTTTATTAATTGGCTTGGTTTCATATTGTTGTGTCTCAGGCAATAGGAAGACCAAAGGAAGAGAGGGAGAGAGACTGGGGAAGGGCTTCTCAGTTTTCATGCATATTTATAAACATGTTCACACTAATAAGTGGTTTTCCCAAGTCTCTCTTGAAGCAGTCAGAACACTACACAATACTGATCAATGAAGTTCACCATCTTATATGGGTGGAGTTGGGGGTGCTCCAAAACACTTGCAATAGTAACACCAGTGATCACTGATCACAAATTACCATGACAGACATAATAATAATGAAAATGTTTGAAATGTTGAGAGAATCAACAAAATGTGACACAGAGACATGAAGTGAACACATGCTGTTGGCAAAATGGAGCTGATAAACTTGATTGATACAGGTTGTCATAAACCTTCCATTTGTAAAAATTCATTTTCTGTGAAGCATAATAAAGCAAAGCACAATAAAATGAAGTGAGCCTGTATGTTCAATGTAGATTTTTAGAAAAATCACTTGCTTATTATTTTTCAGGCGTTCTTTTGTATGCCAAACCCAAAGAATTAGCATAAAACATAGAATATCTATGAAGCAAACGGTGGCCCTTCTACAAAGGAAATTTACTGCCCAGAATGCCCAGCTATCAGCATGACAAAACAATTTTGATAGTATCTACTCTTGAGAGACCACAATTCTTATTTCTAGAATAAAGCTTTTGACTTCACAGTGACCCCAGGAAGCTTCAATACATTCAATGAAGGTGGGGAAAACATCCCTTGAGCAAGACCTTCCAAATATTCCACCTCTTCCTGTGATTCTTTGTGACCTAAGGCTTTTAGAAAATATTCTCTCTATTCTTATTAAAGTGCAAAAGTCTAGTTCTTCCAGAAGAGTATAATTCACTACAAATACCAAATTTATCATTTGAAAATAATTCCCTCCATCTAAAT